GCCGCGACACAAAACCCGACCCCGGCCCCCCCCCCCAGCAGACCAGGGAGACCCGAGCAAAGCTGCGGAGGCCCAGAGGTCCCGCCGCCTCTGCGGCTTTGCTCCTGTCTCCCTGCTGTGCACAGCAGGGAGACCCGAACAAAGCCACACAGGCGGCTTTGCTCCGGGGCAAAGGAGCAAAGCTGCATGGGCAGCGGGGTCCCGCCGCCTGTGCGGCTTTGCTCGGGTCTCCCTACTGTGCTGGGGAGTCCCCCCCAGCACACCAGGGAGACCCGGAGCAGCTTTTCTCGCCCCGGAGGACGCGGTGGCGGGACCGCTGCGCTCTGGGTGGTCCCACTGCCCACGAGCTCCGGGGCGAGAAAAGCCCCGTTCGTAAGTGCGGATCCGACATAAGTCGGATCCACGTAAGTCGGGGACTCCCTGTATACCTATTAACACAGGGCACAGTATAGAATGCATAGGTGGCTTGTCCAAATAGGAGTGTGCCTGGTGAGCAACTAACACAAGCATGGACTGGGGGCAGAACGCTAGTTCTGAACACTCCTGAACTTTGAGGCTTCTCTTAGCTTATAAGGGATGAAACCAAACACTCAGATATCTTTGTCTTCAAACTGTGAGATTGTTTGGATCTGGACCCAACCCAACACTTCACAGCTCAGGCCCAGCTCTGTTCATTAAAAACCCCTTACCTTGTTTAGGTGCTGAAATAAGAGCAGCCCCATTATCAGATGTGAAAAACACAAACGTGTTCTCACTGATGCCCAGGTTCTGAAGGGACTTCAGGATTTTCCCAATGCTGTCATCAATTTCTCGCACTGCATCCCCATACCTGAGACGGCAGAGATTCCAAAGACGCAAGACAGCAAAGGAGAAATGGTTTAAACAAGGCAGCATTACAGAATAGAAAGCACTCCACTAAAGCACACTAGAATATTGAATAAATATTTGTGCTCGAGAGGGAGATAATTCACCTACATGTCAGGCACCATACTAAAAGTTTGCCAGTGTAATTTTGTCACTTCTTTCTCTTATCTGCAGAAAGCAGCTTCTCCTGGATACTCTGACTCTCCAATTTGCTCAGATCCGAGCCACTTTTGGACAGAGACCAGAAATTAAGATAAATGAAGCCATGTGGCTTTCAGGTGTAAGCAGAGGCCACTTTTGCCATGAGCTGAGGCCAATAAAGTATTTTGTTTATAGATGCTACTTTATAGCTGTGATATAAAAAGCTAGGTCCATTACATCTCTACAGCTACCCTTCCCCCATGGTAAATTGCATTTTCCATGATGTGGAGACTGCTTGGTGTTCTGATTTACAGGCTTTTAAAACAGGCTCTAATCAAACTATATCAACAGACTAGCCAAAGCACCCATTCCACAGAACAGTGTTTCATTACTCACACAGACGGCCAGGGAGGTTAGATTGCACCCACATTTGTGTGGCATAATCTTTACTTTGGCTTACAACAAATATATTAAAAGCTCAAACTAGACGGAGTCTTTTTTGGGAAAAAAAACTAAAGGAAATTCCATGCGAGTTAGCGTGTGTATTAGCATACACACACATTTAACAAATGATCTATGTTCTTTCACGCCAATAAATATCGCTATGGCTTTCTATCATCACAGTAGGCAGCATAAATCAAATAAAAGGTGACTTACAACCCTCTCTGGCTAGTGCCCAAGAAATGTTTGGAGGCATAAACAGGAGCATGAGTGGCATCAATAGCCCAGTAGAGAAAGAATGGCTGTTGGCGGGCTTGATGCCTGCTAATAAAGTCGAGAGCTTCCTGTAAATGACAACAGAAATGAATGTAACAGACTCATCCACTGCCACCTAAAACTCTCAACCACAAGTAACAACAAAGGACGGGGGGTTATAAAGTTGTATCAAAATGCAGAATACCTGTAAGTAGATCTGAGTTAAGTTTGCTTCCCCTGTCTTCCGGTCAATCTTGAAATCATCATAATATCTTAAAATGAAGTAGAACCCAGGGGGGGAAAATAATCAATATTGGTGGAACACACAACAAAAGGCCTGTTCTTCCCCATTACTTATAGAGGCAGGTCATTTTTACTCCACAAAAGGGCAGACTTGCAACTGATGGAAGCAGCCATTTCTCTTCAGAAACTGAAAAGGGAGCTCAGGATGGTTTGTAAATCATCATAATATCTTAAAATGAAGTAGAACCCAGGGGGGGAAAATAATCAATATTGGTGGAACACACAACAAAAGGCCTGTTCTTCCCCATTACTTATAGAGGCAGGTCATTTTTACTCCACAAAAGGGCAGACTTGCAACTGATGGAAGCAGCCATTTCTCTTCAGAAACTGAAAAGGGAGCTCAGGATGGTTTGTAAAACAGTGAAATCGTACTGTAAGGAGATCAAAGCTAGGGAAGATATGCCAGATTTGCGTGACCATGAAATCCCATGATTGGTTTCGGATGGAAACAGACCTGGGCACAATAGCTAATTAAATAATTAAGGACAAATATTTGATACAATGTCGCAGTTTCAAAATCAGAATCAATCTTAAGATGTTTAAATAGAAACAGCCCCTTTAAAACATGAACACGACTGCTCCCCTTTATGCAGGACGATTCAGACGGCAGGTAAACATTTCTCAGTGAGACTCAATCCCCTAAATCAGGGGAGGGGAACCTTTTTTGGGTTGGAGGCAACTGACCCACAGAAAAATCAGTCAGGGGCTGCACACAACTGAGAAGCAAAAAACCAAAACAAACCCTCAAGCCCCTCAGTGACGTGGACACCTGACTGAGAAAGACTCTCCCCAAATTTCCCTCGCATACCAGAGCCTAGGGGGGCCCAGACTGGTAGATTGTGTGTGCTCTGGCCCCACAGTGGGGCAGCGGGGGGACTGGAGCACCATAGAATCATAGAATACTAGGACTGGAAGGGACCTCGAGAGATCATCGAGTCCAGTCCCCTACCCTCATGGCAGGACCAAGTACTGTCTAGACCATCCCTGATAAACTATTTTAGGGAATTTAGTGTGTGTGAAAGGTCACATATTTGCGGTTCTGGAGCCTGAAGTCCTTTAACCAGCGCTGGTTCCCCAATGCTGGGGAGGCCCGAGCCTCGGGGGCTGGATCCAGTCAAACCGGGAGCCGCATCTAGCCCCCTGGGGCTGAGGTTCCCCACCCCTGCCCTAAGTGATCCTGACATGGGAAGTTTGGCGCTTTGAGTGTTAATTATACCACTGCAGGTTTTGGGACACTGTATAGAACGTTTTGAGGGCACTGTGTTCCACAATGGACGAGGAAGATGAGGACTGCAAGGTCAGAGGGATGGCATGATGAAAACAGAGAAAAAGCGTTAGCACAAACAGGAAGGAGAAAGAAAAATGTCTTCAGTAAGGGAACGGAATCACCTTCCAAAAGAGGGACACAGCTGGATAAGCATCTCTGGGAGACAGTTTAGAGCAGCAATGGCCTATTTGTGGTCCAGGTGCACAATTTGGCAACCTGCAGTTTGTTCTTGGCTCTCTAGTCTGCCATAACCCCTGGCAGCCAACATTTGCCCCGGAAGCTAGCTGTAGTGCCTATGAGAAATGCTGGGTGCAATACCCTCTGTTTGAATAGGTGAACATTCTTGCATGCACAGGAATTTTGGGCACTGCGGGGTCCCTTCCTTAAGTGCGCTGGCCTTCGAAGCCTTTCAGGCTGCATGGAACACCAGACCAGTCAATCATTAGAAAGCAAGATGGCAGATAAAAGCCCAGCACTGACGCAGCTAGGCTGTAAGTTCATCTTTTGAGGTTGCGATGAGGGTGCCAGGATCCCAGCAGGGAACAGTTTAGGACTTCAGACTAAAACTTAGGACAGATACAGTGCTTGTAATCTTCATTTAAAAACATTAACAACTGCATGAAAGTAGGGCAGTGTTAATGTTCCCACTTTACAGGTGGGAAAACTGAGACACAATATGAGAGGCAGGCTTTAGAACTCAGGCATTTTTTTCTTAGTCCTGTGCTTTAAACACAGGACTGGGCATCTCTCTCACTAAGCAGGTAAATCTGGGAAAGGATGCTGGAAGATGGAGGAGGCATTGCTCAGATACAAATGCTCTTGAATCCCTGTGGCTGTCAAGAACCCGCTTTCAAAAACCTCCCCCTCCAATGATAAGTGCCCTATCTTGACTTCCTCTCTCAGCAGAAAAAATCCTCCTATTTCAAGTGACAAATGCTCTAAGCCTAACGCCCACCTCCCGCAGATGCCAAAACCCTCTTGCCCTCTCTCATATGAGAAATCCCCCTGCGTTGGGCTTAGCATCCTTGTAAACGGTCACTTGGGCTTTACACCGATCAGTGTCAGCCATCTCGGCCTAGAGACAGAAGTCCTGAGCAAACAGAATGGGGGTTGGGAGGCAGAGGAAACACATCCCCTTAAGTGGGTCCCTCCTCCACTTTCGCCACGCTAGGATTGCCAAGTCACTGCATTTGGCAGCTCTGTAGCATGTGCTGAAGACTCTGTGTTGTGCATTTCAGATGCTATCTGAGCCATTTCCTTCACTCATTTCCAATCATTCTTGGCATGGCGTAAGGTGTCTGGAGAGAGCTGCCCATCCAAGCAAGCCGTGGCAATACTGCTGTGTCTGATCCAGGAGTATTTGCCTGCCTTTCCTAACTGAAAACAGCTTGCTGATTGAACAACTGTCTTTCAGTTGACCACAGGACAGCTGAGTAAGACCGCAGGGAAAGCAAAGAAAACAAGCTGCTGATAACTTCTAAAATATTTTTTTAAATGAGCCGTGGAGCAAACAACTGAATTACCTGCCAATCATTTCCCGGTCCCTATACACAGGGATGTTTGGGGTGGCTTTGTTATCATAAGGTCCAAAATGGCAGTTAGGGGATCCAAACCATTCATCAAATCCATGTTTCAAGGGGTGGAATTGGGGTCTGTGACCCAGATGCCTAGGAACAAAAGCCACAAACAGTTCAGGAGTTCACTGCAGACCAAAACTGTGTAGAAAGAAACATCTTTCAATGAGGCTGAAGGAAAACTTCCGCAATTAGTGGTAGTGCTCTAGAGAGCCAAATAAGTCACAGACGTAGTCATAGCATGCATTCAGAACACCGTACTGAAACCCTTGCCACTGTTCTAATAGCTCCATGAAGTTAACATTCAAATTCTCTTTTCTCTAAACACGTTGATCATCTGTGATACTGTTGCCTTGGGTAGAGCTGCCCAGAACACATAGTAAAAATGCAGAATAATTAATTTAGAGGTTGAGTTTCATCTATACCATGGTTCTTTTACACTAGTAAATAGTGCAAAGGGGCCACAAGGAGCATGTAATTTACAATTACATTTACATTCACTTTAAAGATCTTTATGTGGCCAGAGAGGTGCAAAGGGGCTTTGTTGTTTACTCGAACAAGGCCTTTAGAATCTACTATATATTTGAGACAGCCTGTCTGTCTGTTCAAGATCTCCTCCTAAAGGGTAAGAGCTGGGACTACCAAATTCAGTATGCAGCTTCCGCAAATGAAATGTTACTGGTCCACCAAAAGCCCCGGCCCCCAGAGCCGCCCAGTACCAGCCCTAATTCCTAGAACCCCCACCCCTCTACTACCTCCCCAGCAGCAGCCACTGACTCCAGAGTTCCCTGCACCCAACCCCTCCAGTGCCAGGCTCCTACCCTCAGAGCCCTCCAGTGCCAACCCCCCCATCCCAAATGCCTCAAGGCCAGCCCCACACTTAAAACCTACCACCACCAGACCCCCAGTGCCAGCCTCCTGTTTCCAGAGCCCCACTGCACCCGACCGCCCCAGAGCCAGCCCTGCCCTCATAGCCCCTCCACTACTAGCCCCGCCTCCAGAGTCCCCCAGTGCCAGCTCTCCACCCTAGATGCCTCAGTGCCCCCCCCCCCACCTCTTAGAGCCCTCCACCCCTCAGAGCTCCCCAGTACAAGCCCCGCCCCCAGAGCCTGCCCCACCCTCCTCACCTAGCCCTGTGCTGACTCCCAGCTGAGTGCTGTTGCCTGGGTCGCTGCTCTAAGGCTGCAGTGCTAGGCTCTAGTGATGCGCTCTTCTGCGGCGGGGAAGAGAACCCAGCCCTGCTCAGTGCTAGTTGGCTGAGAGGGAGGGCAGGACACGCCTCTCCCAACAGCTGAGCCAGGAGCGGTGCACCCCAGCCGCGGTCCCCAGAGCCACGGCGGCCCGGCAGCAAGTGGCCCACGGCCCGCTTGGACCGGCGGTTGGGAATTGCTGTGCTAGTGTACATCTATAAGCAAAACACACACATAGCAGCTTCTGTGAACAGCGCTGTCCTGGAGATGTAATTTAAACTTTCCTTCCTTAGTGTCTGGCTACTGCTCTTTTCCTTCCGAGACCGTGAATAACTCGCTTCCTCCACCTGTGGAAGTATTTATCTAATGGCCATTCTCTCTGTCTCAACTGGCGACTTTTCTGAGTATGCATTGGTCACTTCAGTCTTTCCTTGCAAGTCTTTGTCTTTTAGCTCTGTTGTTCTTTTTGGCACTGCCTCTGAAATCTGGGGACAAGGAGGGTACACAGTGGACTAAATGGGCTCCTTGTATAAACCTGATGAGGTCAACAGAATCACACAGGGTGTGTCTAGACTACAGGGTTTTGTCGACAAAAGTGGACTTTTGTCAACAAAACTATACCTGCGTCCACACTACCACTGAGTTCTGTCGACATAACGTCGACAGAACTCAGCAGTTTTGTCGACGCTGGTAAACCTCATTTTACGAGGCATAACGCCTTCTGTCGACAGAGTTTCTGTCGACAGAAGGTGTTATTGCATGTAAACTGTCCTTTGCGTCTACACTACCATGTCGACAAAGCAGCTTGCTTTGTCAACAGAACTCAATGTAGTCTAGACGCTCTTTGTCGACAGAAGTTTTGTCGACAGTATCTGTCGACAAAACTTCTGTCGACAGAAGCCTGTAGTCTAGACGTACCCACAGAGACTAATTTAGGCTCATGATTCCTGATCCGGTCACACTGGCTGTATAAATGAGAACTACAAGCTTCCTAGTTTCACATCTATGCGTGCATGCGCATTTCCCCGCCCCGGCCCCAACAAAAATACCAATGGCTGTCTTCACATGGAAAATCTGGTATGTAGAGAGATTAGAAGTGGATTTGCTTAACAAAGCCAATGAATAAGGATACGAGAAAAATACCCTAACTAACTAATGGGGTAGAGAAGATAGATTAGAAGCTCCTGTTCTCCCTCTCCCAATACACAAGACTGAGGGAAGTCAGTGAAACTCAAAGTCAGCAAATTGAAAACTAAGCAAGGAAAATACTTTTATCGCACAACACATAATAAGTTCATAAGAACGGCCAGACTGGGTCAGACCAAAGTTCCATCTGGCCCAGTGTCCTGTCTGCCGACAGTGGCCAATGCCAGGTGCCCCAGAAGGAGGGAGCACAACAGGTAATCTTCACATGATCTCTCCCCTGTTGCTCATTCCCAGCCTCCAACAAACAGAGGCTGGGAACACCATCCCTACCCATCCTGCCTAACAGCTGTAGATGAACCTAACCTCAGTTAATTTATCTAATTCTTTTTTTAATCTTGTTATAGTCTTGGCCTTCACAACATCCTCTGGCAAAGAGTTCTACAGGCTGACTGTGTGGTGGGTGAAGGAAGATTTCCTTTGGTTTGTTTTAAAGTTGTTGCCTATTAATTTCATTTGGTGACCCCTCGTGCTTGTGTTAGGAGGAGTAAATAGCACGTCCTGATTTACTTTCTCCACACTAGGCATGATTTAATAAACTCCCATCATGTCTCCTCTTAGTCTTTTTTCCAAGCTGAAAAGTTCCAGTCTTATGAATCTCTCCTTACACAGAAGCTGTTCCATATCCTTAATATTTTTTGTTGCACTTTGGTGTATTTTTTCCAATTCCAAGCTATCTTTTTTGAGATGGGGCAACCAGATCTGCACGCAGTACTCAAGATGTGGGAGTACCATAGATTTATATAGAGGCAATACGATATTTTGTCTTAGTCTCTACCCTTTCTTAACAATTCCAACATTCTGTTCACTTTTTTGATGGCTGTTGCACAGCGAGTGGATGCTTTCAGAGAACTATTCACAACAGGTATCACCAACCTTACGGAAGTGGCGTGCCAATATTTAACCCTCCTCTCCTGGGCCATGCTGCTCGCTGGAGGTGAGGGTCTCTCCGCTGCATGCCCCGGAGAGCACCTGGGTCAGTCAATGAAAACCTTTCTGTAGACCACCAGTTGCTAATGGAAAATCACTGAATTACATAATTACGCCCGAGCCATTTTGCTAGTGCTGCAGCTGGGGAAAACGGTTTACTTTAAATTATTGAACAGATTGAGTGTTTACCTTTCTCATGTTTATTTAAAATGAAGTTTGATAAATTAAGTAAAATATTATGTCCAACACAAAAGGTTTCAACATTTTCTTTATTTATGGCAGGTGAGGGGAAATTTTGGGTTGGGAGTCACTGACCCACAAAAAAATCACTTGGGGATCACACAAATGAGAAGCAAAAGAACTCCTACAAAAAACCCCAACTCTCACTGATGTGGCCCTCAACTGAGACACCTCACTCTTCTGGCGCTCCAGCCCCATGGGGTAAGGGGAAGGAACAGGGGGGACTGAAGATCAAGGCTTCTTTTTGGCATGATTTACTTTTCTGGGGTTCCAGAATTAGTGGATTTTGTGGACCCCCTTAGGCTCTAGGGTGGGAACAAAAATGAGGGGTTCGGCGTGTGGGACAGGGCGGCCAGCAAGCGGGATAGGGATGCAGGATGGTGCGAGGAGGGCAGGGCCTGGAAGGGAGTTTGGTGGCAGGAGAGGGTGGGAGTGGGGGTACGAGAGGGAAGTTGGGAGCAGGAGGAGGTTTGGGGAGTAATGCAGAAAAGGTGAGAGAGAGAATGCAGCCAAATAGCTAGTTAGGGAGGGAGGCAAAGAAGGTGGGGGGGAGGGAGTAAAGGAAAGTGCAGCTTCTGCAAAGTTAAATTGAATCCTCCCCCCAAAGCATCTTCCCTCTGCTCCAGCCTCACTCCCCTCCGCCCCATGATCTCCCCCAGCCTGATCCCCTGCATTGCCCCATGCCCCTCAGTGCGACCCCCCCACCCTCCCATCCTGCCCCCACAGCTTGATCCCCTGCATTGCCCCATGCCCCTCAGTGCAAGCCCTGCCTTCTCCCTGCGACCCCCCGCCCCGTCCCTTTCTGCCCCGCAGCCTGATCCCCTGCATCGCCCTATGCCCTCTCCCATCCTGCCCCCACATCCTCCTTCACCCCCCCTTCTGCCCCCACATCCCTGTGTCCCCAAGTGCACTCACCGGCAGTGCAGCAGTGCTGGGGCAAGGAAAGGCAGAGGAAGAGCAGTCTCTTCCCTGCCCGGACCAGCCCTTTGTCTACAGGCTGCGGCTCCAGGGCTGGGGCAGGGAGAACCTAGGGCTGCCCAGGGCTGGCTCCAGCCTGGCTTGGTGCAGAGGCTCGCTAGGGAAGGGCTCCCCAACCCTGCACAGTTCACAGGGTGCAGCCTGGCCCACGGTGTGCCACATGTGCTGGGTGACCAGTCCCAGCTCTGCAGAGAAGGCCCAGCCCTGCCCCCTCCCAAAGCAAGAAGCTTAAAGCCAGGAAAGGGGGAGTTAATCCCTTAGCTCCTGGGAGCTGCATGCCCAGGCTGGGCAGGGGCAGCCCCAGGAGTGCGTGCGTGCCACTCCCGCCCCCAGCAGGAAGTCAGAGCTAGTGCTCCAGCCTGCAGCTCTGTGGCTGAGGCTGGAGCTGCAGCACAACCTCCCGGCTCTGCGAAGGGAAAGGGGCGGGGCGTGTGCTGCTTGTGGCATGCATGCCGGGGGTTGAGAACCCCTGATTTACAGTAATTTTGAGTGGCAAAAGCTAATTCAGACACCATCATTTTACATGAAAAGTTGGGATGATGTTTGCCAGTGTGCATTACTTTGCATTTATCAACACTGACCATGCTATGACTGTGGAACTCACTGCTGAAGGATGTCACTGAGGCCAAGAACTTGGCAAGAGTCAAAGAGGGACTGAAGACTGATAATAACATTCAGTGACAAGATGGGGAGAAAGTATCTTTCATTGGCTCAAACCCATACAGGGTATCATCAAACAACTATTACCCATTCTCAAAGGGGACCACACCCTGAAAGAAATCTTCCCTGAACTCTCAGTTCTGGTCTTCAAAACAAACCCATCCTTGCCAAGCTCAACGTGCCTTCCCACAGAACAGGGCACACCACCTCAAAGCACCACCAGACTCTTCCAGAACAACAGATGCAAAATCTACAGCTAGATCCTCCCCCCTGCTTCAAGGATCAACACAGACCACAGCACACCTTTCAAGAGCGGTGGTTCTGACATATGCCTATCCCAGTATGCGTTTTACCTCATCCTGAGCACTACATGTCCATACAGCAACTATGCAGGTGAAACCAGACACTTACTATGTTGCTGAATGAAAAATGATTCACACAGAAAAATGATAGAAGACAAAAACATTGTCTCACCTGCGGCGAACACTTTTTACAGAATGATCACTCCTTAGCTGACCTCTCAGTCCTCATCCTCAAACGAAACCTGCTTAGAACACCTTCAAAAGGTGAGCCTAGGAGCCTCTACATTCATAACTTGGCTACATTGCAGAAATCATGGGCTTAATGAATACACTGGATGTATGTCTCATTTACAACAATCTATAACCCACAACCCCTCTTCTCCTTCTGTTGTTCATTTCCTACTTCACCCTGAACAGCCTCTTGCAACATGTGTTAATGCCTTATCTACTCCACCTTGCATTTAAGTCGGAGCATCTCTCCCAGAGTTGAAGGGTTCTGCATAAGCTCAAAAACTTGTCTCTCTCACCAACAGAAGTTGGTCCAACAAAAGACATTACCCATACCCACCTGTCTCTCTAATATCCTGACACCAGCATGGCTATAAACACTGCAAATAATATTCAGAATTGTAACAGCAAATAGGGTTACAGGAGATGTACAACTTCATGTTTAAAACGTAAAACAATCACTAACGAATAGGGGTTATGATGAGACTTTAACGGGGTCAGATTATCCCCCATCTGTCAGATGCACTTTACAGTACTTGTCTCTTAAGCAGCTGATTATGGCAGTTAACGGAACCTGATACTGCAATAGATGGATCGTGGGTCCTATTCAGCATAGCAATTCTTAGCTTCACAGTGAGACTGCATTGTGAGTTCATATTTACTTTGCTTTTTATTGTCACCAGAAGGGTTTCCAGGCTTGCTGCTTTCCAGATAACTGTCTGGAACCAAAATGTATTCGCGCTGCTTATTTCTTTTCCCTAGCTGTATGAATTTACATTTATTAGCACTGAATGCATCTCATTGCATTCAGCCCACTGATCCAATATTTCCTGGCCACATTGTTGTTTGGATTTGGGCTAATAAATAATTCACTGGCTTAGGTTAGTTTACTTTCCTTCCAATTTCTGCGCTGCTGGAAAATTTAATCACAGTTGAATCTATCGCTTTTCAGATTGTTAATACTGTTAAATAATATGGATTCCATAAGTGACTGCCTTAATGCTGGTCCCCACTTGAAGGTGGCATTATTAACAATTACTGTTTGTTAAACATGCTGTATCAAGTTACTACTGTATCTATGCAATTTTGAAGTTTATTATTTTGTGCATTTATTTATTACATAGTATTATTGTGAATTACCATCATGGAGACCTAGAAACCCAGTGGGACTCAATCATACAAGTTCTTCACTGAAATTAAAATGTTCTGTGCCCACTGGCTTCTCTTTAACTACTACAATAGAAATCCAGTCAAAGAAGCCTGTTGTATTTGTTTGGCAGCTCTCCAAATTTTCCTTCCTACCCTGCCCAGGAAACACAGTTGTACTTAGTGGCCAGGTGCCTCTCCTTACTGCCACGATTTACTAAAGATTAGGTTCACAAGGTCAAATGTTTCCTTTGAGAAGATCTGATCCTGCACCCATAAAAGTCAAGGGAGCTTTGTCCGTAACTTCAGTGAGAACAGGATCAAGCCCTTAGTCCTTTTAAAATTCTTAGGATGTTCACTCAGATCGTTGGTCAATATCTTTCACTGTCTATTTATTTACCATTTGCTCTGCTAGATTAGGCTCTCTCTCTTCTCTGTAGCTCTAACACCAGCATGTTTGCCTTTAGGTACCTGGATCTTCATTTCTAGCTTGACATTCAGCTACTCAAAAAAAAAAAAAAAAAAAAAAAAAAAGCGCACAGCCTCCAGAGTTTAGGAGTCAGGCTTATCTGTAGAAGATCAATGGTATATTAGGGATGTTACATTTAAATTAATTAACTAATTGAATAGTTGACAAGATTTCCATCGACTATTTGATTAGCCCCGCACTCCCTGTGGCGCCTGAGACTTTGAAATGTACAAGAGCCCCAGTGGGGGCTCTTGTACATTTCAAAAGCAGAATCTCAGCAGAACCGGTGTGAGTGGAGACTGTTTCAGTCCCCACTCGTGCCATTTTCCCACTGTGCCTCTATCTCCTCTGCCCCCCAAAGAGACAGTGCTGGGGGAAATCGGCTTTTAAGTTGGCTCCCCCCAGCACCGGCTCCTGTTCCCACTCCTTGCTACCTCTCTCTGATAGAGGCAGCAAGGGGCGACTAGTGGCATCACTAGATGACTATCCAATAAGCTTATGCTTCTCAGGTAGTCAACTAGTTGCTTACATCCCTATGGTATACAGAAGGGGCCAAAGACAAAAAATTGTAGAGGGCCATGCACATGCTCCGACAGAACATCTCTGCTCTTATTTTCAATCAAAAATCACAATGTGGTCCTGGATGAAAGCACAAAGGGTTGTGTTCATACACAATGATAGCACAGTCTACTGAAATTAATCACTGCAGGTGGGAAGATCCTGCCCAGAATTGAGAAGACAAGACATTTGAGCTCAAAAGAGTTTGTCCAGACTCTGGTTCTCTCAGCCTCTCCCCACAATTAAAACAGACACACACACAAAGAAAGAAATCCCAAGACATACTTACCATTTGCCAACGATCTTACTGACATATCCCGCCTTCTTTAGCAATTCCGGAAGCAGCAGCTCAGAATCTGGGATTCCCCCTACTATGTCCTGTGGCGTGTAGGCTGTGCAAAACAAGAACACAGGTTTTAACTCATCACTAAGGTTAGCAAGCAGGTCATGAAAGCTTATGGACACTCACCTAGAAGCGTATTTGGCCAGACCATAAATTAAGCTAGCTCAAGGGCCCAACAACACTATAAATTAGGAGTCAAATTCTCCATCCCACCAGATGCTGGGAACAAGCTGACTCAGCAAGCTCAGTCCCCAGGGAAGGAAACCCTTTCAGGGGGATAGCTCAGTGGTTTGAGCATTGGCCTTCTAAACGCAGGGTTGTGAGCTCAATCCTTGAGGGGGTCATTGAGGGATCTGGGGAAAATTTGTCAGGGATGGTACTTGGTCTGGGTAGGGGACTGGACTCAATGACCTCTCAAGGTCCCTTTCAGCTCAATGAGATAGGTAAAGCTCCATATTAATTAATTAATCACACAGTTCCATCTCCCATGCAGCCTTTGCTGGCTGGAGGAGAGTCAAATGGCTTGAAGTTATTTACATTTAGTGCATTTTGATAAGTCAAAGGATTTATTAAAGGGAAAAATGGACTTGCTCAAAGTGCACTGGCTGATCCAAAATACACAAATACTTTGTAGTTCTCTCACACCTGACACCACAGAGACACACAAGTTCTCCCACAGATGGACAGTGTGAAGCAACAGGTGTGTGCGGAGACTGTGCGGTGTCATAAAAACATCTGTAATATTAGAACCAAATACCAAATAGATCAACCCAAAGGCATTTGGAGCAGGTACATGGCTACTGAGAGGAGAGCTCAATGTTATGTAACTGTACTGACTCATGCCAAGGCCTCACTGAACCTTTACAAATGCGCAGGTGGAAAGCAGGCTAACCCTGCTTAGCATTAGGGATGTTAAAATGTGTGTGTGTGGGGGGGGGAAGGAGGCGGAGGGGGTTGTAAACATGTTACCACTGAAATTTTCAACAGTTACATGTTTACATGCGAGGGGAGGGGGGCAACTCCACGGGAGGCAGTATGGGCGCGGAGCCAACTTTTAAATCTGCTCCCTGTGCGTACCTGGCAGAGCCACCTGCCCCCTGCCCCCTGCCCCGCTGCTGCCTGGGAAGGGAGCATGTGGGAGCCAGTGCTTTCAGGGAGACAGCTTTTTAGAATTGGGGTGTGAGCCAGAACTTTCTAAAGCCTAAGGGCCGATGAAGCCCTGCTAGGGGCCTTGCATGTAACCATCTCATCGTGTACACTAGCACATCCCTAGTTAGCATTACTAAAATTAAAATTAGATGACAAGTTGTGTTTTATAAAATGCTTGTAGGATGCTGCGTGTGTTGTTCTCGCTCTACTATCCCCATGTTATAATGTAACAGTACACCCCTACAAGGAAATAACCCATCAAACGAGAAGGAAGACAAATGAATAATTTTAACAAGAAAACAATAATGCTTGAGCATTTGAAGGCAAGCAGTCATCGTGTGTGATGATCAAAGTCTCTACACACATTCCTCTCTCTCTCTGCCCCCCCCCCCCAAAAAAAAGAGAGCCTGCTTGCAAAGTCATCCTGGCAACTTGGCTTTCTGTAAGAACCACCTATAAATATGGACACAGAATTCTTCATCTTTGGACTGTTCGATTCTAACAGGGCAGAATAATCACATGATAAGACACATACCCCCAGAGTTACACTGGGTAGCCCTAAACAAGTTTGGGGAAACTTGCAGATCATAGACTCATGGAATAATAGGACTGGAAGGGACCTCGAGAGGTCATCGAGTCCAGCCCCCCACCCTCAAGGCAGGACCAAGCTCCATCTACACCATCCCTGACAGATGGTTATCTAACCTGTTCTTAAATATCTCCAGAGAGGGAGATTCCACCACCTCCCTTGGCAATTTATTCCAATATTTGACCACCCTGACAGTTAGGAATTTTTTCCTAATGTCCAATCTAAACCTCCCCTGCTGCACTTTAAGCCCATTACTCCTTGTCCTGTCCTCAGAAACCAAGAGGAACAAATTTTCACCTTCCTCCTTGTGACACCCTTTTAGATATTTGAAAACCACTATCATGTCCCCCCTTAATCTTCTTTTTTCCAAACTAAACAAGCCCAGTTCATGAAGCCTGGCTTCATAGGCTTCTCTAGACCTTTAATCATTCTTGTCACTCTTCTCTGTACCCTTTCCAATTTCTCCACATCTTTCTTGAAATGTGGCACCCAGAACTGGACACAGTACTCCAGCTGAGGCCTAACTAGTGCAGAGTAGAGCGGCAGAATGACTTCACGAGTTACATGATTACTACATCTTCTCCACTTTTTACCCATTTTAATTTCTCAATAACTCTCATTCCTTTTTCCTAGCTATAAAACCTACTATAGAATTGGCTACCAGGTCTATCTTTGGTGTAAGATCTGGGATACAAATCAATCTGGGTGAATGCCAGATCTCTTGGGATTGGCTAGAACCTGCCTAGAAGCCTTGCTAGGGGAGGAGTTGGGATAGGCTTATAGAGGGAGGCGAAAGGCTGCAGGGAGCAGCTCGGCAGTCACTCCCCAGAGAAGAAGGCAGATGGTGAGAAACAAGCAGGGAGACTGGCTTAGGGTACAGACACTGGCAAGAAAGAACCCAAGGGGCGGGGGCAGGGGAGATGATAGGAAAGAAAGGCTGGAAAGAGCCAAGGAATTGTCAACCACGTCGGCGCTTGAGCTGATTGTGGTTGCTGGGCATGGGGTCTCTGGGCTGGAACCTGGAGTAGTGGGAAGGCCTGGACTCCCCTATTGGCCACTGGAAAAAAAGGCACTGAGTGGCCAGTGGATCAGAAGAGTGCCTGAGTCACGGAGAGAGACCAGCCCATGTCCAGAGAGACGGCAGACCACTGAAGGAGGGGATGCTAGACCAGTCAAGAACTAATCCCAGATGAGCTACAAGGAGGCACCCCAGCAGGGAGCAGTGAACCCCGTGACAGACTGGATTTTAATCTAGGACTTGAACTTGTTCTTAACCTAGGATGTTAATGCCACGTCCCATGTTACTTTTCTTCTTTCGCTGAAGGTTAATTAGCTCACTGATTGAAACAACAGCTGAGCCAGCAGAAGCAAACTGATTAATATCTTAACTTAGATCAGGAGTAGCTAACCCAAAGCTCGCAAGCACACGTGGCTCCCCCACCCCGGGTGTGGCTTGCGAGGGCCCCCTCGTGGCTCAAAACCCATCCCCGCGCCCCCAAAAACAGCCCTCACCTCCCAGCTCCCTGTGCTGACCTGGGCAGGGGAACCGTCCAGCGCAGCCATGAAAGCAGCAGAAATAAAGATGGCGGCAGGAGCCTCCTGTGGCCAAAAAGCCTCAAAACGTGTTTAAAGGCAGTTTCTTAAAAGGGCAAAAAGGTCGGGAGCTCCCCCCCAACATTTTTGCCCTGACTCTTCGCACTGGATCCACTGCTATCTTGGCTCATTGCCCAGAATGGGTTGGCCACCCCGACTTAGATGTTTTTACTTAATGTGGATATTTAGCAATCTTCCATTTTTAGCATCATACATAGGGAGCAATAGGCCTCTAAACCTGGTCTTATTATCTGGAGTGGAGCTACATGCCAATCCCTTGGTATCCCTCTGGAAATGTACCTCCTGGACAACCCACGAAGGGACAGCAGAGAGCCAAATGCCAATATTCAGCCAATGCAAAGCCAAAGAAGAAAGGCAGAAAGGGCATTTCTAGGAAAAGCAGCGCTGATGTTCGCACCATTTCTGGCATGTGCATTGGTGGTGTAGAACCCATTCCGGATGGGGAGACGTCCCGTTAACAGTGCTGCCCGGGCTGCAGATAAAACAAGCAAAACAAAGAAAGCATGAGTAGGGTGTCTGGTTCTCTTTACATCATTCTCTGCTTTACATGGTCATGTTTTGGCTGCATGATGACTAGAGCTCAGTGGAATTTCTGCCAGAGATTACTGCTCAGCTGATAATACACCAGAACCTCCCTAACCCAGGTCGGGGACACCACGATTGGGACCCTGGCAGTGGGAGGAGGAAATGGCTCTGCTTGCTGGCTCCCTCCCCCCAGCTGAGGGAACGGCAATGCAGTGAAGCACTGGTCGGATCGCACAGAGCCACATGTACCCCCAGGAACAGGGCGCCAGGTAAACACTCATGCCCGACCCCACTGCACCCTCCATAGGCTGAGAAATTTCATAATCCAGCAGACCCTGTTTCCCAGGGTTGCCACATTAAAGAGGTTCAAGTGTAGTAAATAAAGTGATGTACTCGTTTGGCCAGATTCTGAGGTCAGCCACACTAGTGTAAATCCAAAGCGATACCACTGATGTGAATGGAGTTTTCCAGTTCCACTGAGATTGGAATGTGGCCCATGTGTACTGTAAACTGTATTTCTGGGGTGAGTATAGGGGAGGAGAAACCTCAATCTAGCTCACAAATAAATTCACCAAACTTATTGACTCCTACAATGAACAAAAGCAAAGTGTCCAGCTCTAACATGAGAGAGATCAAGGCTCTTCTTCGGGTAAGTACTGAGCCAGATTTTTAACTTTAAGCATTCACTTAAGACCCACTGAAGTCAATGAATGGGGATGGACTAAAACATAAGGTTACATGCTTTCATGCGTGAAGGCCCCCGAAAGTCCTCTGTTCACCTTTATATTTTAGCTGTCAGCTGGCAATCAGACGTCAAGAACCAGGGACAAAAATGTAAAATCTACATGAGACTCAAATGGCTTTGTCCCTTCCCCCCTCTCTAGAGCCTGGTCTACGCTAGAGGTACGTCTAGACTACAGGCTTTTGTCAACAGAAGTTTTGTCGACAGATACTGTTGACAAAACTTCTGTCGACAAAGAGCGTCTAGACTACATTGAGTTCTGTCAACAAAGCAAGCCGCTTTGTCGACATGACAGCGTAGACACAAAGGACAATGTAGATGCAATAACACCTTCTGTCGACAGAACTCTGTTGACAAAAGGCATTATTCCTCATAGAATGAGGTTTACAGCCGTCGACAAAACTGCTGAGTTCTGTCGATGTTATGTCGACAGAACTCAGAAGCAGTGTAGACACAGGTATAGTTTTGTCGACAAAAGTCCACTTTTGTCGACAAAACCCTGTAGTCTAGACACACCTTAGGAGTTAGGCACCTAAGATCCATTTTCTAAACAGAGTCCACACTTCAAGACCATTCCATTGATATTAAGGGCTGTTGAAGTCCATTTCGGTGCTCCTGCTTTTCAAAAAGAGTAATGCAATTTTCGACCTGGCATGGTCAAATTCACGGTAGTGTAGACCCAGCATAGAGAAAGTTGAGGTTCTTGGCCTCTGGGAGGCATCCCACAGTACCCCGCTCGGACCAATCTGGCCAGAACTTGCATCTCTACTGCTCTCCAGGTGAGCAGGAAAAGCCCTGAGAAAGTTTGAATTGCATTTCCCGTGTGGCCAGCGTTGTGAACGCACTTAGGAGCAGGCAGCACACCTGAGCAGAACACATGGCCATGACTCCCATTTCAAGTTCCACGACCTCCAGCTCCCAGGGGCACAAAAAAGCCTTAACACAGTAGGAGTGTTCGGGAGATCTTGGACCTCACTGAGGCGCGGGGAGAGGAATTCATTCTCTCGGATCTCCCAACAGCAAAAGAAATGTTGATATTTACGTGAAGATAGCAAAGTGCATGGTAGCCAAAGGATACTCCAGGAACACCCAGCAGTTCAGAGTCAAAATAAAGGCGCGGAGGCAGTCCTAGCACAAAACAAATGAGGCAAACAGGCGGTCTGGTGCATCACCACAAACATGCCACTTCTACAGCCATCTACATGCGATTTTAGGTGGGAGAACCTGACCAGCTTCCTAAGCTAGACCATGGAGTCCGCCCAAAGACATTCTGGGCAGCAGTGTGCGATGACAGCGTGGTGGGGGAGGGAGAGGAGGACGATGAGGAAAATGGCCAGCCAGCAATCACTGAGAACTGTTCACCACTTTGGAGCCAATCCCCTCCTCCCAGGACATCTCACAGTCAGCATCAGCTCCCTATCACTCTGCGTGATTTGGAGAAGACTGATAGCTTCCCTTCCTCCTTCATCTAGGTTGCCATGTGAGATATTAGCTGATGCCTCTGCTGCTAGCATGGCTTCAGACTCTGGCATGCCCTCCCTCCCTCCCGCCTGCAGGCTCCTGTGAGATGGGAAAGTAGCACTCTTCCAGGAAGCCACATGTGGCAGACAAAGAGGAGGGAAGCAATGTAAGCTGCCGCTCTGCCCCACTGGCATACCAGACCCTGTTCCCCTCCACCATCCTGCCCACAGGCTCCTGTGGGATAGGAAAGTAGCACTCTTCCAGGAAACTGTATGTAGTGCAGACAGGAGGAGAAAAGCCATGTGAGCCACTGCCCTGCCCCACTGGCATCACTGCACCCCATGCCCTCCCCTCGCAGGCCCCTTATCATCCCTGCCTCCGAACTGCATGAGTTCAGATGTTCCCCTGAGAACTCTGTGTACCTTCTGTACAGTGGCTGCTTTAAAGCAAAACTTTGGCCTTGCACAGAACACATCTCCCTGGTCTTTACAGAGACCTTCGCTATATGTTAACGCAGTGTTTCCCAAATGGTGTTCCGTGGAACCCCGGGATTCTGCAAAGTGAAAATAAGGATTCCGCAAGAAAATTCCATTACAACAACATTTTATGGATTTAAAAAATTGTTTGTACACATGAAATGTGATTTTTGTTTTTAAATATGTGCAATTAAACTAAACGTTGATCTCATGACCTTTTTAGCATTTGTTATTATTCTATCCTTACTTATTTATGGTCTACTTTTCAAGCTCCATAGATAAGACTGTTATTAGGGGCTCCGCAAAATTCTTTTGAGTTTAAAAGGGTTCCATGGCCAAATAAAATTGGGAAACACTGTGTTAACAGATAAGGGTTAGGTTTAACAAAATGCATCTACTATAATATGTGCCCTTGTAACTTTTTATTACATCAGGAGCAGCAGGCAGCTTGCGGCATATTCCCCTGGCTCCAGCAGCTCTCCGGCTGGCACAAATCCACAGGTGAAAACAGACAAGAGAAGATATGTTTAAGGAGCAAATGGAGTGGAGGAATATGTTCCTGGAGGAGATGCGGATGGAGAGGCAGGGGGGGGAAGAGTGATGAGATAAACGAAGCAACCTGAGAATATCTGTTTGTCCTTGATGGAGCACCTGGAAGAGAGCCTTCCTCCCTGCCCCACACAACAACTTTCCCTCCTCACTCAGTTCTATAGCCTCCAACCCCAGGATATGAGGGGAGGCAGGAGGAGATCAAGATCATACTCAACCTCTAGGACCTCGGGAAGCAAAAAGCTGTCCTTTTCACAGTTCTGAGCTCCCCTCCCCTTTCGGGTCCCACCATAGACTTCTTTTCTGTCCTTGCTGTCTTCCCTGAATAAAAACATAGGATCTCTGAACAACAGTTGATAGCTTGTATTGCAGGAGTGGGTTGGGAGATTACAGGTAAACACATCAAATGCAGGGGCATCTCATTGAGAGCAACGTGCATGACTCTCAAAACTGGCCACTCAGAAAGCTTTCTTTCAAAGCCCCTCTGATTGGTACTGCCCCACGCTGTGCTCTCCTTATCACCCTGCTGTCTGGCTGCTCAAAATCTCTCGTGCCCTGCCTCTGCCCCCACCTTGCCAGATAACTTTCCTCCTCGCTCTCACAAAGATTATGGAGCACAATAGAGGCTGTCACCACAAAGGGAATGTTGGGCTTGCTGTAGGGATGTAAGCGACTAGTCGAGTCACTACTCAACTAGTCACTACTCCTCCCCCTCCCACCGAGGCAGCAGGAGCCAGTACTGGGGGGAGCCATCTTAAAAGGCAGTTCCCCCCAAGCACCATCTCGGGGGGGGGGGGGGGGCGCCCAGGACTCAACTTATGCCCCGTCCCAGACGCTGTGCCTCTGCCTCAAATGCAGTAAGAGCCGGGCAGCTCTTACTACATTTAAAAGGCAGAGCCGCAGAAAGGTTAACTCCCAGCCCTGGCGTTAACCCCACTGCAGCTCTGCAGTTTCCCCTCTTAGCAATTAATCGAGTAGTCAACGGAAATCCCATTGACTACTCGATTAGCTGATTAAACGCAATTTAACATCCTTAGTCTGCACAGGTCCAACCTAGTCAGTAGACTCCTAAACCTTTCCTTTAACCACCCAAAAGCACGTTCAACCACCATTCTGCATTTGCTCAGCCTGCAGTTGAACTGCTCCTTACTGTGGTCCAGGCTGCCCACGTATGGTTTCCTGTTCCTTGCTCCCATGGCTCAGGCTGGGTCACCAAAGATCACTATTGGCATTTTCACCTCTGATTTTGATTTTCCAGTCTTGGAAAAAAATTATACCATGCATCTTTCTGAAGAGGAAGGAGTTCCTAAAGATGCACCTTTCCCGACCATCCCATGTCGATGTCGGTGAAACAGCCCTTGTGATCCCGAGCAACATTGAGAAGTATCCCTTGTGGATTAAGTACTCCTTGACACAGTGGTCGAGAGCCAAGATGGGGATGTGTGTTCTGTCTATCGCCCCACTGCAGTTAGGGAAACCCACTGCAGCCAAGCACTCCACTACGGTTATCCCCGTTTCCCAGTCACTACCCTCCGTAGCAGAATGGTACTGAACGTCTTGGTTATAACAATAGCCTCCACTATAGACTTCCCCATACCAAACGGATTCTCAACTGCCTGGTAGCTGCCTGGCATTACAAGCTTCCACGTGGCAATTGCCACGAGCTTCTCCACTGTCAAAGCGGGTCTTATTCAAGTGTTCTTGCTCTTCAGGGTGGAGAAAAGCCATTTGCAAAGTTCCAGGAAAGTGGCCTTGTGCATCTGGAAGTTCTGCAGCCACTGCTGATCGTCCCATAAATGCAGCACTATGCGGTCCCACCAGTCTGCGATTGTTTCATGGCACCAGAACTGGCGTTCTATAGCGCCCAGAGGATTACTTGCTGGCTGCATTTCCTCTTCGCTGAATGCAAGGGCTTGCCTGTACAGTATGCCTGTGGGACCCCGAGACGGAGGAGATTCCTCCTCCTCATCTTCTTCCTGGAGTGCCATGCTTGCGGGCTCAAAATACCGCGCTATTAGGCGCACCAAGGTAAACATCAGCATCACTGTGGTTTGATGCACAATGGGATCCATGAGGGGGGTCCTGTTTGCGCTGCTTCGAAATCTGCGTGGGCAACCAGGGCCAAAAAGAGCACGAAAAAACTGTTTCCCGTTGATCTCACGCAAGGGGGAAGGAAGCAGATGAGTGCATTATGGGACACTGACAACATGAACCCATAATCACCCGCTGCACAGTTTTGGTCCAAGAGTGCACTGGGAGCATAATCCAGAATGTGAAGCAGTGCAGCACCTAGAGGATAGCTACCCACAGTGCATCACTCTCAAAATCGATGGCAGTCTCTTTAGCAGGGAGGTGCTATTTCAAACTAAGCTGAATGCTTGTACAAAGAGAGGACATAGACCTTTGTACAAAATCGGGTGACCAGGCATGGGCCTTAATAGATTTGACTTCATCTTGTAGTGTAGACGGGGCTGCAGTTGCTCAGTCCAAAGGCAATGGAACTTCTGCCATCAGAGCAAAATCAAGCCCATTGTGTGCTTCCTTCCTGTTGGATTTGTCCAACAAAGAGTTAGGTATCTTTTTGTCTGCCTGCCCCAAAGAGGGAAGAGATGAAAAACTCAGCTGCTGATGCCTGAAGGCTAAAAGGCTAAAACAGAATAAAAAATCCTTTACATGGAATGTTTTGATAACTAAAATGCTCTTTGGTAAGAACAGAAGACTAGTTTTTTCTCAAGAAATAAACAACAAGGAAGCAAAGTGCAAGATCAAAGCAACAAATCCCAACACTGCCTTAAGGGTAATCACTAGTTTGGTTGCTGGTTTAGATAAGATGCTGGCACACATCCTGATCTTCTCAGAAGGTGGCAATTTGACATGGTAATTTCAAGCTGAAGTTTACTTACATGGAGAGCACAGAGGGTTAGCAGTGTAGAAATCTGGGAAAAGCATCCCTTCTGAAGCCATCTGGTCTAAGTTAGGGGTTTCCTTAGAGGGTGCTCCAAACACTCCCAAATCACCCCAGCCCATCTGCAGAAAGTAGATATAAAAAAAGACATAAAAGTAGTTTTAGCTTTCTTTAAACTACTGTATTACCTTTTGCATCACTGTAGCATTTTTATTTTAATAAGCTCTTCTATAGTGCCCATCACCGTAATATCAGAGCACTTCCCATACAAGGTATGAATTTATCCTGACAACCCTGCTATGGAGATTGGACATTAGGAAAAACTTCCTGCCTGTCAGGGTGGTTAAGCACGGGGATAAATTGCCTAGAGAGGATGTAGACTCTCCATCATTGGAGATATTTAAGAGCAGGTTAGACACCTGTCAGGGATAACCTAGATCAGGCGGTGGGGAACCTACAGCATGGGGGTCGAATCCGGTTCCTGACATGCTTGGTTCCAGCCCCCACGGTTTGGGGTTCCCCCCCACCCAGCACTGGACAACCAGCACTGGGGCGCCAGCCCTGCAGCCCTGTCATGCTCCCCATGGGGTGGGAGGGCCAGCGTCAGCTCCTGCTGGAAGGAGTGGGAGCCCCAAGCTTTGCAGGCCAGAGTCAGGGAAGCCAGGGCCGTACTGGACCTATGGGCTCTGCCTGGCGGGGAGAGAAAGTGGATCCACATGTTGCCACTTCCCTTCCACGTCTCCACGGCGGAGGAAATGGTCGTGCAGCAAAGCGCTGACTGGAGGCTTTCCCCCCACCACTCTGATTAGCTGTAATTGCAGCCAATAGGAGCAGCAGGAGGCAGAGCCTGGGAGCAGTGTGGGACACGGAGCCACGTGCATCCCTGGGGAGCTGAGACTTGTAAGCGCCCTTCCCATCACCCAGATCCCATGCACCCAGTCTGCTCTTGCATCCTCTTTCCTCCCAGACCCCGCACCCCTCTCCTGTTCCTGCAACCCCCCTCCGACCCTGAGCCCACTCCTACACTCACTCCTGTACAGACCGTGCACCTTACCTCTCACCCGGTCCTCCTACCCCCAGCCTGCTCCTGCACCCTACCACCTTCCCAGATCTACCAACCCCCAATCCACTCTTGCACCCTCCCACCTACCCAGACCCCACACCCCAAGTCTGCTTCCCAGCAGTCCCTTGCCTGTGAGACTAGCCTGGGTCCTCATAGGCGGTGGTGTGTGAGGAGAATGTGGGGAGTGTCTTTCTGCTTCTCAGTCAAGAGTATGTCACTGTGGTTTGTTTGCTTTTTTGCTTCTCACTTTTGTGTGGCCCCTGATTGAAAAGGTTCCCCACACCTGGCCAGATAATGCTTGGTCTTGCCATGAAGGCAGGGGACTGGATTTGATGATTTCTCAAGGTTCCTTCCAGTTCTGGAATTTTATGATTAAAAGATATGCCCAAGATCAGAAAGAAAAAACAGAAAAAACCTCAGATCTCTTCATTTCCAGCACGGTGTCTTGATTATATGACCATCCATTGCAGGTCTGCACTTCCACATACTGGATATATGGCATATGAAACGCAAGCTGATGGTCTAAGTCAAAAAGCATGGTTGCCTAATACCTGAAGACACTGAGGAGTGTATTTTAAAAGTGACTCAGACAAGAAGTGCGTCACTGTCACACCATCTGTTTTGGTCAGTTTGTAGGATGATGGCCTTTACCACAGGGTAGCCACACATTTTTGTCTCAAGCTCCTGTTCAGGGGCCTATTTTGTTCAAAAAGGGAGCACTAGAAAACAACTCATTTGGCTAATTTCAGTACTAAAAAATAAGTCACTCAACCTATAAACTCCTACAAGAGACCCATTTCAGGAGCAATTAGCCACTATGGCTGCCTACAGATTACACTCTGCCTTTAAGTTGCCAGAGTTTTCTTTACTCCAGTCAGATGCCAGGTGGGCAAAGGAAATGCAGAAGACATCATACAGCTAGATCTTGAAAAAGCTTTCAGTGCAGTCCCATCTTAAAGTCTAACACAGACAGAAGGATACAGTTTGGAAAAGAATACTGCAGAATAAATACAAAACTGGCTGATAGGTCACAAGCAGACAGCAATTAAATGGTAAAACATGAAACTAAGAAGAAGAATTAGAAGGCGTTAGTGTTAAGTTCTGTATTGTTCAATATCTTTACAAGTGATAAGGAAGGAGAAAAGAACAACACATTGATCAAATTCACTGACACAACCGAGGAGGCATAGATACTACAGAAAGATCAGAGAAACAAGCAAAAGTCCAAGAGAAGGGATTATTTTTATTACCACAGCGCCCAGAAATTCCAACCAGGGCCTGTGCCCCATTATGCTTGGTGTTGTTCAAAGATACATGGACAGATTATTCCTGTTCCAAAGGGCATTAAATATAGGGAAAAGTCAAATTCACTCAGTAGAAAATAATACTGAAAACAAAATGGGAAACTTATGCGGGCAACAGTAACTGTAAGCTGTACCGTTAGGTGGCCACTCAGAAGAGTTTCAAATGCCAGGCAGCTGATCAACAACTAGTTTTCTTGTTTCTACTAGTGTACACATTTGCTCAGGCCTTGCTGCACATAAAAATTATTCCCCACATGGATGGAAAAGATTAGTGGGAACACTGGCGCACAGCTACATCAAGTCATCACAAGGTGGCCAGGTAAGTGATAGGTGGTGTGCCAACTCCCAGCTATGTTCTATTCACACCCTCAATTCACTTTCTGGGACGCTGAACACTACATGCAACACATTCCTGCCAATAATGCATCCAAAGAAATAAATGCAGATCTGTGAAGAGAAGCAAACTTGAGGGGACACTGCCAACATAGAAATCCCATGGAGTAAACAAATACATTGATTTAACTATGCTACTGACCCCACCAGATTAGGGATGTAAGCCAACAGTTGACTACCTGAGAAGCAAGTGCTTACTGGGTAGTTGACTAGTGACTCAACTAGTCGCTTCCTCCCTGGTCCTTGCTGCCTCTATCAGAGAGAAGCAGCAAGGGGGAGAACATGAGCCGGTGCTGGGGGAAGCTGGCTTAAAAGCTGGTCCTGTCCCCCGCCCCCAGCACTGTCTCCATAGGGGGCAGCAGGGAAACAGTGCAAACGGGGACTGAAAGAGTCCTACTGCTGCTCCTCTCCCTTTGGAATGTATAAGAGCTGCCTGATAGCAGGGACTGCTTAGCTCCTGCTGGCGCAGTTCCCGCTGCCTCTCTCCTTTTGAAATGTACAGTAGCCACCCACGGCTCTTGTATATTTCAGAGAGAGAGAGAGGAAACCAGGTAGCTCTTGTACATTTCAAAGGGAGAGGTGCAGTGGGATAGCAAGTGCCCCCCTTATCGAAATTCCATCCATTACTCGATTAGCTGATTAATTGAAATTTGACATCTCTACACCAGATGGCTAAAGGTAAAGAATTTTAAAACTTTATCTGTGATTGTTTTTGCTCTTTGTTTTTCTTTGCATTTTTCTCAGTATGGGAACTGAAAATTAATGAAGTCAGTTTCCTTCCTAGGCTGTGTCTACAATGGCGCAATCTTGTGCAAAAGCGGCTGCTCTTATACAAGAACTTGCTGCCTGTCTACACTGGACGCATGTTCTTGCGCAAGTAAACTGACGTTCTAATGTATGAAATCAGGGCTTCTTGCGCCAGAACTGACGCTCCCGCTCAGGAATAAGCCCTTTTGCGCAACTGTTCTTGCGCAAGAGGCCAGTGTAGACAGGAAACATGAAGTTCTTGCGCAAGAAAGCCCTATGGTTAAAATGGCCATCAAAGCTTTCTTGCGCAAGAGAGCATCTCCACTGCCATGGATGCTCTTGCGCAAAAGCACATACCAGTGTAGACGCTCTCTTCTGGAAGAGTTTTTGCAGAACTCTTCCACAAAAGAGTCTTTGCGTGAGAACGCGCCAGTGTAGACGTAGCCTCTGTGTTTGTTTCATTCTGAAGTTCTCACTTGGGGCAATGTTTAAGTTTTAACCAGTTTCTGAAAGTGTGTTGAACCTGGTTTGTCCTTGTCAACACTTGCAATTGGACTCTGTCCCTGCACTGATTCAACCACACTTATTTTAACACCAATGGATCTTTTTGTAGCCTAGACAGGGCTTTGGGGACAACTCTTTCTAAGCGGAAGCCATTTATTTCAGGAGGGAAAGGGTGGAGTAGGTAGTAATACCCTACAAAATTCAAGGTAGAGATTTGGAACATTTTCCAACAGTGTGATCAGTTACTCAGCGGAATAATTTGCTACAGGCAGCTGCCGAATCACAATCACTAGGGATGTCTATGACTAGAACACTAGAAAAAAATTACGCAAGTGCTTAGCTCTTGACTCCACAAAGACTTACACACATACTTAACTTGATGCATCTGAGTAATCCCATTTGTCTTCAATAAGACTATTCAGGCGTAAATTGGTTTTGTTTTTGTTTGCAAGACATACACTTAGTGGGTGTGTTTGCAGGGCAATAGAAACCCATGGCTGGCCCATACCAGCTGACTCAGACTCACAGGATTACAGGGCTTATTAAAGTATGTTTAACTGTCATGTAGATGTCTGGGCTCAGACTGAAACTGGGGATCTAGGACCATGAGAGATGGGAAGGTCCCACATCGCTGGAGTCTGAACCTCTACATCACAATTAAACAGCCCTGTAACCCAAATCCCACAAGCCCAAGACAGCTGGCATGGACCAGCCATGGGAATTTAATTGCAGTGTAGACAACGGTTCCCTGTAAGGTGCGCACCAAGAATTTCATTCCTGCCCACCCCCTCAGCAGAGCCATGCAGCGGCAGCCCCAGCTGCTCCCGGGGGCGAGGCTGCATGGCAGGTGACTGCTCACCCCAGGAGCAGTTGAGCAGCCACCATGCAGCCTGAATGG